CATGACAAAAGGACTGAGCATCATGGCCAGGAGATGCCCCACTGCTGCCACCTGCAGATTCCCAGGGCAAACAAGCATCAAGTCTCTTCTTTGGTCACCTCTGTCCAGGCTTTTGCCATAGATTGCACAGATTCCATTCCAGCCAACACTTACACTGGAACATCCCTCTTCAGTCTGAAGCCATCTCCCACCCTGTACCTTCCCAGCACCAATCCAGTGCAAAGAGCTCTGAACCTTTGTAGTCCACAGAACTCATGTGCAAGTGAAAAACAAAAACAAAAAAACAAAAACAAAAACAAAAAAACTACCAATCCCAGAATGCATGTGTGCTCCCTGAGCTTGTTCAAATTACAGTCTGGCTGCCAGCAAGAGCTTCAGAACTTGAAGGACTGAAGAAAGAAGTCTTGGCTCTGAGCTGCATGATGACTACACCCTAAATCTGGAGGATTTTCATTTTCTCACATCAGAGGACTGCCACAAGCCATCCTGCAAGTGATAGCCTTGCACACTGGTGACCTTCACAGTTGTGTGGCCTGGGTGGAACTGGATGTGGATAGGATCAGTGTTTATGGCTAGGGTTAGAGTTAGGGTTATGTGACAACTTTTTCTGGAGGCACCTTGTAAAGGTTCATGTCCCATCCCCGTTAAGTGTTCCACTATGTTTTCTAAATATGTGAGACGCTCAGAGGTTGGCAATGTGTTTTCTATTCTCTTGAAGTACTCATGGATAGGATAATTGTCCACTCTTAGGACAAACTTGGTCTTTGGTCTTAGTTAGGGTTCTATTTCTGTGAAGAGACATCATGACCACAGCAACTGCCATAAAGGAAACCATTTAATTGGGGCTGGCTTACAGTTCAGAGGTTTAGTCCATTGCCATCATGACAGGAAGCATGGTGGCATGCAGGCAGACATGGTGCTGGCGAAGGAGCCAAGAGTTCTACATCTGGATTGGCAGGCAGCAGGGAGAGAGAAGGAGCCACTGGCCTGGAACTTGAGGCACTTGAGCATCTGGAACCTCAAAGTCCACCCCTTCTGACATAGGTCCTCCAACAAGGCCTCACCTCCAATAATGCCACTCCCTATGAGTCAATGGGGGCCATTTTCATTCAAACCACCACAGTCCTTCTTACCTATACTGTTTTATTCCTGTATTCACCCATTGTTGTACATTGTCCCTGGTGCTTTTGGGGGTTAGCTATGAATTAAGGTACCCTCAGCTCCAGTTTACACCAAAGTTATAAGAGAACAAAAATATAATGTATTTCTCACACTGACAGTATAACAGTGAATCTGTAATCCAACATGAGGCTTCTGATCACCATAGATGGCCCTAATTCACAGGCAAACTTGACCACTCTATTAGAGGAGCAGTCGGTTGGTTCCTACCCCGGAACATCTCCTTCCTCCATAGCAGAGGGTGCACTGGTGATTAAGTGAACCTTCCTGTCCTTTGAGTTCTCCGATCATTTAGTGAACTGCTGGCCAGTCATTAAAGCCTCATAAAGACTCATTAACCTGGTAAGTTTTCCCCGTGAACTCCAGCTCAACACAAATCTTACTATGTTTGTTCTCAAGTAACTCAGAATTCATTGTTATCCCATTCTCTCATTTCTACCTGTTGGTTTAGTCCATTAACAAGAAATCAAGTTACACACCCATGAGATAATCCACAGTTCCCAAAGACTCCCCTGCACTGTAAAGACCACCTCCCACCAAAAACGTCTATAAAGCCATTGTGGTAACTTTGTAATGAGGTCCTGGATGAATCTACTTCTCTTATAAGTGTACTGTAAGGACAGTTCTATCCAGTCTGGAGAGCTAGAAAAATGGTTAGGAATGAGGTTTAGGTGGGAGTTTATAGAGTTTGGGGTTTAGAGTTAGAGCTAGAGGGTTAGGACAGGGATATGGCTTGCATTTGGTGTAAAGGGGTTAGGGTAAGGCAGGGTTAGAAGATTAAAGCTTTAAGGTTAGAGTGATGGGCTAATGTTAGGATTAGGGTTAGGATTTAGGGCTTAAGAGTTAGAGTTAACCTGGGCAGTGGTGATGCACACCTTTAATCCCAACACTCAGGAAGCAAAGGCAGGTGAATCTCTGTGTTCAAGGCCAGCCTGGTCTACAGAGCGAATTCCAGGACAGCAAGGACTACACAGAGAAACCTTGTGTGTGTGGAGGGATGATTTAGAGTTACAGGGTTAGGGGTAGAGGTTTAGGAGTTAGGGAGTTAGGGTTATGGTTAGGATTTGGGCAGTTAGGGTTAGTTAGGGTGTTGAAGAAGTAGTGTTGTGGTTTGAAAGAAAATGGCTCCCAAAAGGAGTGGCACCATTGGGAGGCGTGGCCTTGTTGGAGTGGGTGTGGCCTTGTTGGAAAAAGTGTGTCACTGGAGGTGGGCTTTGATAACTCATATTTGCTCAAGCCACACCCAGTGGTTCAGACCACTTCCTGTTGCCTTTGGATCAAGATGTAGAATTCTCATCTCTTTTTCCAGCGATGTGGTAATATATTGTGTACCCTAATAAAATTTTCTGAAGATCAGAGAACAGAACAAGCCACTAGATTAAATGTAGATGCCAGGCAGTTGTGGCACACACCTTTAGTCCTAGCACTTGGGAGGCAGAGATCTGTCTGGATCTCTGTGAGTTCAAAGCCACCCTGGACTACATGAGATTGACTCAGTCTAGGAGAGAAACAGCCGGGCAGACCTCTGCCTCCCAAGTGCTAGCATTAAAGGTGTGTGCCACCACTCCTTGCCATCTATGTTTAATCTAATGGCTTGTTCTGTCCTCTGATCATCAGGCAAATTTTATTAGAGTACACAAAAAAATCACCACACCAGCACCATATCTTCCTGCATTCCACCTTACTCTCAGTGGCTGTGCCCCGCACCATGGTGATAATGGACTCAACCTCTGGAACTGTAAGCCACCACCTCAGTTAAATGTTTGCCTTTATAAGAGTTGCCATGGTCATGGTGTCTCTTCACAGTGATAGAAATCCTAAGACAAGTAGGGTTAGAATTAGCTACGCCACACATACACAAAACCAAAACCAAAATCAAGGAATTGGCTCTAGATGCTATTATTGTGGTATACAAAGATGAATGTGGCATGCATCCTCATATTGTAAGCATGTCCATGAAGTGGTGGGTAATACCGAAGAGTAAGGAGTATTGACTGTCAATCTAGCTAACTTCCCAAGTCTTGATGGACTTAACAGTTGGATGCAGTGCAGTAGTTTTGTGGAAATTCATTATACAGGGAGGTGTGTGTGTGTGTGTGTGTGTGTGTGTGTATACTTATGCAACTCCAACACTAATCTTAACCCTAACCCTTTACTAACAGTCTCTCCTGAGCCAAACTTCAGCTTCTCTGCATGACCCCCTTACTCCTGGGGTCTCCACTGCAGCTGAGGCTACACTTTCCCTGGTGGCATCATCTGGCCATTCACAGTACCAAGTCTCAGCTGCTACTATGACCCCTCCATGACTTTCAAACCAGTACTACCTGGGTAACTCTTACACATTGCCAACATCAGCTAACAGCTTGGTCCCTCTGGACCACAGCTTCTGTGTGCTGACCCTGAGGAAATACTCCCAGAAAACTTCACCCCAGTGATCCTGGTCTCCTCTTATTCACTGCTAATATCTCAGCTCCAGCTAACCGTTATGGATTGTCCCAGCAAAACAAAGGCTTCTCGGGCTGGAGAGATGGCTCAGAGGTTAAGAGCACTGGCTGCTCTTCCAGAGGTCCTGAGTTCAATTCCCAGCAACCACATGGTGGCTCACAACCATCTAAAATGAGATCTGGTTCCCTCTTCTGGCCTGCAGGCATACATGCAGGCAGAACACTGTATACATAATAAATAAATAAATCTTAAAAAACAAAAAAAAACAAAGGCTTCTCTTTAGTGCTGCTGGTCTCTTGTCAATCACATCTGATTTTTAGTTCCAACTGACTGTAAACTACAGGGTTTTTTTTTGTTTGGGTGTTTTTTTTGGGGGGGGTTTTTTTTTTTTTTTT